TGGCCTCAGATCCTCCTCCACACGTCCCCGCGGCAGCGCTGCTGCCAGGACCCAGCCATGCAGAGCAGGGGCAGCTGCCACCAGGCTCCCGCGCTTACCTGGGGTGAGGCGCCGGTGCCCAGGGAGGTGACATGTCTCGCAGCCCTCTGGCTGGGTTTTTATAGCCTCCAGATAGAGACAGAGCCCAGGAGAGCATTACCGAAACCCCTAACTCAGCACATGGCAGGGAGGAGGGACCGGGCAGAACAAAGGCGATGCTGCAGAGAAGCTGATGAGCTGGGATGTCGCGACTCCCGTTCCCTCGGCCCACCGGGCACGGGCTCTGACCCCCGGCTCTGGAACCAGAGCATCGCCCCTGGGGTCCGCCAGCGCTCCTGCCCCGTGCCCCGTGCTGGCGTGGGGCTGGGCTGGGACTGTCCCCCCCAGCTCGGGCAGCGCTGCCCCTGCCCGCAGACAGCACTGCCTGCCCCACGCCGCGGCTTGGGGTGAGGGCAGGTTTTCTCACCCGCATTTGCAGGAAGTAGGAGGAAAGATGCGTTCTCCCCCCACGGCAGTGCTTGCACTCCCTGCGAGCGCAGAGCGGCTCTCCCCAACAGCTGAGGCAGCTCTTTCGCCCGTTGAGCACACAGCAACCACGGAGCATCGTAACAAGCGGGGACTGGGGGCACGGGAAAGCAAGGGGTAGGTTTGCAAAGGCATTACCGGGACTAAAGACACAGATCAAGACGTAGGGAGTGCTGCAGCTGCCTCCTGCCTCTGTGCGCAGGGACCTTGAAAGAGCCCGGTGCATCCCCATTTTGCATATCTAAATAGCTTCAAGCTTTGCTCACGGTGACCCTCCTCCACCAAATCCCCCCAGGGTCACGCTGGGAGGGCGCAGGGCTCCGAGGGCTGGGCACCTTGCAGAGGAACCCCCACAGCCTGCCCGTCGGAGGGGGGAGCAGTGGGGCAGCCGTTGGGCTGGGTGGCGAAACCCGTGTTCCCAGGTCGTGCTGCGTTTTGGGACAGCATTTGCCGGGAACCTGCCGGGTGGCTGAGCTGGAGCATCCTCCTTCCTGCAGCTGCAGCCCCGGCAGCCCCCGGGGACCACGGGGGAGGCCGAGCAGGAGCGCACGGCAGCCAGGGGGGAGCAGATGCAGCCGGCTGCTCCTGGCCGCAGCGGGGCTGCGCTGGCTGTCCCCGACCTCAGTGGCTCCCAGCAAACATGTGTTTGGCACAAGTTGCCCCCCGCCTCTCCCTGCGGCCTGAGCTAAACTCAGCTTGCCACCGGCCACCAGCAGGGGGATGACAGCTCACTCCCTCCCCGTGGCATGCCCCAGCACCAGGACGTGGTGGCGTGGAGTCCGTGCCGCAGCCGGGTGCACCCCTGGTGCCGCGTGGCGCTGGGCAGGGGACGCAGCAGCGGGAGCTCCGGGCTCACCGGGGCACAACGAACCCCTCACGCCGGACATGCCCTCGTGCTCTGCCCGCCAGGGCCGAGCTGGGGCGGCTCCAGCCATCTGCACCGCGGGTGAGCCTTGGGTGGCTCTTTGCTGCGTCTGAGCTCTGCATCACACGTGTCCCCCCCGTGCCGGGGCGGGACGGTGCCGCGAGGGGCTTCGCAAAGCACCTGCATCCAGCTGCAGGGATGCTCAGTGGGGAGGGCAGAGATTTGGGGCTTGGGGGGCTCAAGAACCGCCAAGGGCAGATCCCCGCTGTCAGCCCTTCACAGCACCGACTCGGGGAAAATCACTGGGTTGCTGAGTCACAGAATCACAGGATGGATTAGGTTGGAAGGGACCTTGAAGATCCCCGAGTTCCAACCCCCCCTGCCCTGGGTAGTCCTCAGAGTCCGCGAGTCCTCAGAGTAATGGCCAAAACAGCGCGGAGCAGCCGTCGGGGGCAGAGCTCGGTCCCTCCGAGCACAGTTTTCCGATGCCCGAGTCCAAAGGCGCTGGGAGGCGGGAGGGGAAGCGGTGCAGGAGGAGGGCAGCAGGAGCCGCGGGGGGGCTGAGATCTGCTGAGTAACAGGGGAGGGGGATTAGAAAACCCACCCCGGCTCCCAGAGGAAGAGAATGCAGCTTAAAATAGAAACCTGTCTAACAAACATGAAAATGAATGCAAATTGAAAGCCGTGAATCATGAAAAGCCGCACGGCGCCAAGGTGAGAGAGCAGCCTGCGGGGAGTGCCCAGGGGACACGGAGCAGCAGCACCCGCGCCCGGCCATGCCCGCGGGCACGACACGGCCCTCCACGAAACCGCGGGAAAAGGAGGAGGAATCAAGAAATGCTTTTTGTTCGGGATTTTGGGCAACAGCCCAGAGGATGCAGCCAGATCCCACCGCTGCCAGTTGTCACTCCACACTCAAGGGGAACAAAAGATGATGGCAAAGCTGAGGGCTCTGAGCTTTCTGAACGTGCAGCCTTGGGTGATTTACTGCGGGCAGTGATGAAGAGCCAGCCCAGGCGTGCTGGTGCTGGGTGCCACGGGAGGCTGCGGGTGCTGGAAAGGACTGGGAGGAAACAAGTGTGTAGGTGTACACACAACGAACAGGATCACAGCAGGCAAACGGGGACAGGAGCTGATCGGAGGCTCAGTAGGAGCTGATCGGAGGCTCAGTGGGAGCCACGGGAAGGTCCCCCCAGTGCCTCCCGGTGCGGAGAGTGGCTGTGGGGTGCAGGAGATGCGGCACCGCAGGCTGAGCCACCGCAGGGACCGGTGCCCAGCGTGTCCCCAGTCAGCCGCCCCACGGCCCCCTCCGCCTGCCACCAGTCAGGGACAGCACCGATGCACCGAAGCCCCACGTGGGATCTGGTACAGTGCAGTGCGGTGATGGAAAAGCTAGGGATGGTAGAGGATGAGCACAGCACAACTTAAATGGGCTAAAAACTAGCTAGTGTCCGTGCCAGTGGGCGCAGTGAGCAGGGACATCCTCAAAGGAGAACACCATTTCCAGGGACTGAGATGTTTTGCAAAGTGTCAGCTTCCATGACACGTCATTTAGAAAAAAAAAAACCCAAACAACTCCTGAAACATTTCAAAACACTCCAGTCTTGCATCTTGGCATCTTCAGGGCAGCACACTCGGGCGTTTGCAGGTGATGTTTAAAGCAAGAGATTTAGTGTTTAGAGGGGAGAAATGCGCAGAGCGCCGCGCTGGGGCTGGGCACCTGGCAGCCATCGGGCTCGGCGT